CGGCGCAACAGGGAAGGTCTTGAATGATTCCACGGAGCTCCAATTAGGTTACACGCAATCCAATGTTCCGGTATTCAACAAAAGAGTTCTACGATAGGCATCCTTTGTGTTCGGCCGCTTCTGCCATTTTCCCTGCCTGTGTGTTCCGGTCTATAAAATTAGAAAATTAGAGGTACCCGTGGGCTCCTCCCGTTGCGGGGGGACTGCGTTTCCGGGATGTAACAGGGTACTACGCGAGTACTACAAAAGTACTAGGTATCGTCGTTGGGGGTCTGGTGGACTCGAGCGGAGACTCGGTACCGTCTTGAAAGTACTAAAATGTACTTATCGTCCAAAATGCAGAGATTCGGCTAGAGAGAAAATTCCTGGAGTCTTCAAGTACCAAAAAGTACTGCAGAAGTACGAGAAATAGTCATTAGCCAGAAAATGCTGACTATCCGGGTTGGAACTATTTCGAGAGTTCCCGATGGCGAGGCCATTTAAGGTCAAAGGTCAAAGGTCGACTGTTGGAAGGTCGAAGATACAAAGTTCATTCGTTGCTGGAGAAGTAAAAAGGGCGATTGGAATCTCGAGGCATTCGCGTTCCGCGGTTCCGATACCCGTGATGATGTGTGCGAGTCAGGATTCTGCACATCGTCAGGGGTGTCGGAGGCGGGCCGTGCGACCTCGAGCCTCAAGTCCGTACTAGTCTGATCCGAAATCCGAAAACTTTTTGGTTTTGCTCGACACGAAAGACGCATAGAAGGGGTCGTATCACTCAAAGATTCCAATTCACGATTTCAAATCGCTCAATTTGCGACTGCCGGCCATTGCCGACCCCGAAGACCCCTCCTCGAATGGATCCCGTGATCCCTATGGAATCGATATTAAATCCTGGGGGGTCCCGTAATCCATCGTTTCAATCACCCGACCGTAAAATTCGATGAGATCGGCGAAACAAGCACTCCACCTCATCGCATCGTGCTCAGATTCCCCAACGATCGAGTTCTTCTCCTCCCCCCTTCCCCTCCCCCCTCCCCCCTTCCCCTCCCCCCTCCCCCATTCCCCTCTCAACCCTTCCTCAAAGCTCTCGCTGTCCTCGCAACCCTGGAATCGGATGACAGTGTCGTTCCAACTGTTGAGCCTCCTTTCCTTGCTTTTGGGGCGTGGTCTTAAGCCATTCCTGCCCTTTCTCCGATTGACGGGTTTTGGCAACCTATTGTTTTGCATTTGGCTTGGTTTACCTGTATGCCGTGAGAGGTTAGCTAAGGAGATGAGAGCTTTTTTGGACTTGTCACCAGAGAAGGGGGAGGAGGCGAGACAAAGGCCCAAAGAAGGCCCAAAGAAGGCCCAAAGAAGGCCCAAAGAAGGCCCAATGAAGGCCCAATGAAGGCCTAGTGCTCCGCAACCGGTATCATTGATAAGGACTCTGGAATGGATGGCAAAGTGCTTAGAAGTTGTGACATATATGGCTTCAGCCGACTCTCGTAATAAAATTGCAGTACCATTAAATTAAATTAAATAAGTATCAGGACTACCACACTCCTGATATAAAACTTCATAAATTATTCATTACGGAGGAATACCAGGATCAATATTGTTGCTACAATGATGATTCAGAATGCTTTGCATGCAATTTCTCTGTTTATGACAGTTTTTTAAACGTTGGGAACTTCGAACAATGAATAAATAATAAATATTCGTTTTCTGAGGAACCAGGGGGAAGGCACAGGCTCGCATCACAGCGAAAAATTTTAAAAAGAAAGAGTTTGAAATAACCTCGAAATGATTGTCTGGCAAAAAGCCAGTTCAAAACAAGCATGATTCGCGAGCGTTCAAGCGGTTTTTGCAGTGATTTATTGGCACAGGCGGGAATCGAAAGCGATAAAATCTCGTTTAGCGCCCAGAAGTGCTGATTTTCCCGATAGGAAATACCGACGGACGATGCAGGCTCGAGGAAAAGACGGCTTTCGAATCGAACCGCGCATTGATTATACATTTTTCCTTACCTGAGAGCGAAGAGAGAGAACAGAGAGAAGAGAGAGAAGAGAAGAGGCTGGCGTGGCGGTTCGGGTGTTTCCTGCTCTGGGCGGCCAGATGGCAGCACCTTCCCTTTCTCTCTTTCATGGTGCCGCACATCGAGCACGCTAACGTTGGAGCTCTCCCATCATTGTTTTTTGGTTTGGGTTCAGCGGAAACGAAAGTGAGTTTTGTTGCTCCTACTGTGGCTTTTTTCTCGAGTTTCACAGGTTTAAATCAGGAACGACACGTCTCAACCAGTTGGAGTTTTTTGTCACTTGATCGCCGGCCCATCGACTCCGTAACGTGACATCGTATCTGTTAGCGTTAACGTTAGTTCGATGAAAACCCGTTGGACTCGACTGCAGCCCAATACTGTATGCTTAATGTTTCGCGTAACTATGGCTGACAGGCCTTGGTCCCTAGTCAAGCCAAAAAAAATTAAACTTCTGAAGTTCTGGATGCGGGCGCGCTGAAGTTGTGCAAGAGACGGCCTAAGGGAATACAATGGTTTCCGTGTTAGTTCGATGTCAGCCAGAAAAGTTGAGCAGCAGGTTATTTTTAAGGGATTACCTTACCATGCCAAGCTGCTGTGAACTGTATAGAAGCATGATGTTTCGTGGGCAGATCAGCTCCAGGCCCCAAATATTTGTTGTTTTTCTAAACTAGAAGGAATCATTTCAAGAGAATTTAAGTATATTTATGGGTAAACAATTTTTGGTATGAGGAGAAAGTGCCTTGTGATAAATTTCCATTTTGAGTTGACTGGAGTCCCAGAAGAATTTCCTTCTATTTGAATAGAAGTCAACCATGATGATTACTTTTCTCATTTGAACTACCTAGAATTATTTAACTGAAAGTGAGATGGTTTTGGACATGAATTTTTCTAAACTCATCTGACCATTATTTCCTAATGTTGGAACAGCTTATCACAACTGCTGACAACAGTTGTAGTCTGGTCAAATCAGACATTAATAAATATGGGAAGCATCTGAGGCTGACATGATAGGCCCACTGGGTCAGTAGGCTGGGAGCCAACAGTTGACCACATGCTCCAGAGTTGTTGCTTCTATTGATTCAGCTAGTCTAGGAAACCCATGTTGTTACCTGATTACACCTATCAGATGGGAAGTTCGTATGCTAATGCCTTTTAGGCCAAGAACTGATCAGGAAATACCATGCCAAGAAGTTTTGGGACTGGACAGTAATGCATTATAAATAACTAGTTGTAGCTGCAGCTAGCTCTACCTTGATGGAATAGGTGACAGGGAAAAATGAAAGTTCCTCTTCCATAGATGTGACTGTACTTAGGTAATAGTGACTAGTTACCATTACGAGTAATATATTATTGTGACTTCTCAGAAATTGATCCTAATTATCGTTCTTGGGCCTAATTTTAGATGCTGTATTTTGATGTTTTCTGTAGCTTAAAATTTAATTTCATCAGCCTATGTAGCTTCTTGTGTTCTCCTTGTATTTCCTACCCTTAATGGAAGTGTGGGTCTGCAAAGAGTGAAAGGGAACAAGGAAGGAATAGTATAAACAAAGGGAAAAAGGAAGAGTTTTTTAAAGATTATTTTCAGAAGTAAAGATCCTGGTATAAGTAACAGGTTCTTTTGAATAAGGAACAAGTGTGTGTCTATATGTAGCAAGTGGATTTACTGGAGAATTTGCCTATACTTACTAAGACAAGCTTCTGTAGATGGAATATGAAAGCAGCGAAAGGCAAGTTTGACAGTAGATGGTGATGCGATGGAAAGAGGAATGCCCGTCTCATTGTGACGAGCTGATCTTTCAAATAGAAAATTTTTCTGTGAAGTCATTGAAATGGCAAGTAATTTTGTAATAAGTCTATGCAGAGTGGATTCAGAGTTCAACCCATGCCACTGATATCTATCCTCAAGGGAACATGAAGTACCAATAGCAAAGAAGATTGATCTCATTTGGTGGGGTTGGTTTACATAATGGTATTCTTGCACAGAGTGCTGAGGAGTAATTTGTACAACCCCGTTTGGAAAGCTTCATTCATTTACCAGAAAAATTTTAGATGGCTTCATTCATTTCCTCTCAGATCTGATAAGGCTCTCATCCAAAGAATAAAAGACAATGATGAATCAACTGCTATCAATGCCTTTCTGGTCTGGTCCCTTTTCACTTCCATCATGGAGTGCCCCATCATTCAAGCAACAAATTCATCATGACTAATTTTTTAACGTGTGTTTGGTTTTAGCAAGTGGTTGATGGGACTAATGGCAAGGAGGATGATATGATCCTCAGATGAAATGGTTCTTGATTTGACTTCCATGCCAGAAAGATGTATAATATGCCTACAAGCATTTTAAAAATTTTAACCATGGGAAAGTCATAGCAAACTGTTGAAAGGGCTTGCTTTGGTACAGTAAGTTGTTTGCTCATGGCAATATTTTGAAGTTTTGACTTTCTGACAAGAACCTGCTCTATGTATGCAGGCCACATGAGCAACTGCTGATGAACAAGGAATTAATACTGAGGGGGGGAAATCTGGATATAATGCATGACTTCTTGTTCATGCACTTCAAAAGTGTACTTGATTGCTTTTTGTAATTATCCATTTACTTGGTTATCTGCTATCCAGCTCTGAGTACATAGGGCACATAATGCCATTTTCTGCCTACCATTGTTATTTGTTATGTGTTGTTATTTTCTCATATTCCAATATCAAACCTCCCTTGAAAGTAGTCTTACATATTTTTTATTACAGCAATTGCATGTTGACTATGCCTATGACACCTAGACACCTTTGCATTAGCCTTTCTATAAAGTAACTGCATTTTTAGTTGTCATTGGGTAGGGCAAGAAAACTATTGTAATTTGGTAAAAAAGTTTTCATTGCTGATATTGATATACTCTTATCTCCTACCTAATGTAATATCTATGACTTATTGATATGCCTAGCCAATAAGTCATTTTTTTAACCTTTTTTTAAATGTATTTTCTTTCATCCTTTTCACAGGCTATAGAAGATGCAGAACGACGCTGGTGAATACGTTGACCTGTACATCCCAAGGAAATGCTCTGCCAGCAACAGGATAATCCATGCCAAAGATCATGCATCTATCCAGATTAACGTTGCAGAAGTGGATCCTGAGACTGGCCGAATGACAGGAAAGAACAAGACTTATGCCATCTGTGGACCCATCAGAAGAATGGGAGAATCAGATGACTGCATCAATCGGCTTGCAAAGAAAGATGGCATATTGGCAAGGAATTTCTAATTCTAAAATTGCCTGAAATACATCTGAGTCTTGCTTTCTATCTGTTTTGTCTTCTGAACTCCAGAAAGGTTCTCAAACACACATACCATACAGGAGCAATCCTGGCATGTTCTCTAGGTGTACTGTATTAAGAAGACCTATGGAAAGAATTCATAGAATTGTTTTTGCTGGAGTACCTGTATTTTCCACCCAAGGTATTGTGGTCCCTGCAAATTTTGTCCTGTGATTCTATACACTTCTTCCAGTGAGTGTAGAGTTGTTGTGTATACATCTGCAATCTATGCTTTGGAAAGGTGTGCAGCTCATTTTTCATGGGCTCTTGATTGTGTCCTATCAACATGAAATTGAGGTGTAGGAAGGGGAAGCAGTCAGAGGGTGCCAAGTCCAGTTGAAGCAGCTAAGCAATGTGCTCACTCCTGTGTCACTAGGGGGTAGATTTTGTTGCTATAGTTTTTTTTTTTTTTTCCTTTTGACCTTTTTAATGCTCCTTTAGTGTGGGCATAAATATCAATGAGGATTGAATGGTGTTTCTTCTATTCAGCATGTCATGCTTATTTTGGTAGTTTCAATATGAAATACTAAAAAGCACTTTTTTAGAGTGTGTTTTCTGTAAATATGTGTCTGGTTTCCATAGCATACATAGCAAGTTTTGAGAGAGAAAGAAAGCCATGGGTACGCTGTGCTCTTCAATTCACTTGCCTCAAATGCCTTATGTGACAGCCCTATCTCTGTCCACCCAGTGCCAAGCATAGTTGTGGCAACCATAGTTTTGCATCCCTGAGTCTTGTGAGATATGGTATTTTATCAAGGCTTATTTTTTCCCTTTCTACCTTTCATCCAGAGAATGGAGGAACATGGCTTCAAACTCATGGATCCTCTGGAGTTTATCAAATCTGTTCCTAAATAGCTGAAGTCCACTCCTAGATATTTTGAAAATAGGACTTTTGGCAATTTTGAATCCTTGATGATGATCCTGACCTGGGTGGAATTTCCTCACTTCCTTTATATACACTGCAAGCATGATGTGAAGCTCAACTTTTCACATTCAAAGCCATGCTCACAACCAACCACTGGCTTTGACCCTAGTTAGTTTTGAAATGATGATGGTATGTCATTTTGACAATGCCAATTGCAATTGAAGTTTCCAGAAGAGAAATGAAACATTACCACTATCCATGGAAACATTTTTGGAGCATATTACTATAGCTTATTTTAATACATGAAAGTATCATACTTTGCAGATTTATAGAGCATGAAAATTGCTCCCCGGTCTTCATTGTACCCAACTTTTTGGCATCCCACTTAATTACTATCATCAGTCATCCACTCTATTCACTGGACTTGGCACCCTCTGACTGCTTCTCTCTCCCACAACTTGATCATGAATCTCATGGCAAAGTGTACTGCAGACCTTTCCAAAGAATAGACTGCAAGCAACAGCTCTGCACCTATTGGAAGAAGTGAATAGACTCATGGGGGGGGGGGCAGAGTTACGGACATTGTGTCACCTTGGGGTGGAAGGTATGTGTTTGATGGCAAAAAAAATTCCTATAATCTTTTTTTGATGGGTCTGCATATCCTTGTTAAGTGGATGCAGAGGCCTTTGAGAAAACATTATCAAAGATTGGGCTGTACCATATGTTTTATTGGTGCAGTAGGGTGCATGGAAGCCCTTTGATGTTCCCAAATATCACTTGTTCTGTGTTGTTACCAATATCGAGACAAGACCAGTCCTCCTGTGAATTTTACATATTAGGGTATATTTATTGCAAATTTGACCATTTGGAATTATTTAGGCTACTATGAAATGAGGCTCTGGACTTGCGATGAATAATGAGTGCTTTATAAATTATTTCAGACATATTTAGGGACAAGTATGCATGTTGTAGCTTGGGATGACATCCAAGTCAACTGCAGAAGAAGTGGGAAATGCCAGCAAGGACAGGAGGCTCCAAATCGGGACCCATCGGGGTTTGCTGAATGGCATGACTTCCACCCCCATCAAAGGTGAAGCAGAAGATGGCAGCATGGATCGTGGGTGTGTAGTTAGGCAACTTTTTGGACATCAGCCCAGGAGTGGTTCTAAAGAGAGAGAGGAGCGTGAAAATGCCTTGGAGATATCCACTGTTTCTAGCATCTCAGAGCATGGCGAAGAAAGTGCTGGCTCACATACGAGGGACTTTTCCCTGCAGGCCAAGGAAATCATTCAGCAGTGCATGACGAATCTCATGTCCCTTCTTCACAATGACAAGACTAGTAGCAGCATCAGAACAGCTGATGAAGTTGAAACTCCAGGGTCCCAGCCAGACCAAAGAGACACTTCAATAAATGCAAATGGAGTCTTCCACAGTCACACATATGTGCCCACCACTTTTGAACGGACTCTCTCAAATACAGATCTCCCTGTAGGTGTTGCAGGATCCCATTTCCTGAGTGATGTGTCTCTGCCCAGGAATGGAGATGTGACAGGCTATCTTGGTCCATCTGGGGATTTGACTGCATGGTCCACTCTTCAGACAACTGCGAATCACACCTGTGGTCGGAATCGTTACTCAGATTGGGTCTCTCATGTTTTTGAATCTCAACTCTTATGCCAGAAACTCAGACTTGAAGCTCACTTCCAACAGAAACTCTTGAGCCTCTCTGAAGAGAAGTCAAGGGAGGTGGCTCACCTTCATGAGAAGTATCAGAGGAGGATGCAGGAATACGAAGGTGTGATTCGGGATCTGGAACAGCAGATTCAGCGAGGTGCAAAGGATTTCATCCGACTGAACGATGTAAAGAACAAGCAGATCAAAGAGCTCACAAAACTCCTGGAAGAAAGACAGAGGACTGTCACTGTAAACCAATTGCCATTAAAGGTCTGTAACTTTCCATGAAGCCTCTGTGTTCATATCATAACATTTGTGAAAGTGTTTCAAGATTATAAGATATACTTTATATTCACCTTTTATGTAGGATGGAGAGCAGGAATTTGCATGGGAGATGGAGAGATGTGACATAGAGAAACGTCATGTTGAGCAACTAAAGACCCTCATTCAGGAATCTAATGGAAAATTGAGGGAAATGCAAGACCAGTACCAGAATCAGGCCATTGCCATGGGTGCAGAACTTGAGCTCCTGCGGGTGGGTTGACTTGCATATCCTAATATAAATAGACTCAAGTGTTATGTTTATATCTCTTACATATCATGCAGGAAACCAAGAAGAGACTGGAAGAAAGGCTGCAGGAAGTAGAAAATCGTCCCCGCCTGAAGGACAGAAGTGAAGGGGGAAGTCAGAGGTGCTTGAATAATTCAGAATCGAAAGGAACACAGACTTCTCCAGTTGTCTTCCTGTATGTTTTGAGATTTCTTTCAGTCCCGCAAGTATACTAAGTGCATGATTGATATTCTCTTCAATATCATGCATGTTGCAGGATGATCCCTTGACACATTAGCTGTATATATTGTGTAGTTCCCTTATGCATCACAAGTCAGCTTGCATGTTGTCCTGATATATTGGGGTACAAATAAGTTTTGAGGGATTTAGAAAAGATGGCGTAACTAGCATTAAATCGCATCGGACCATCTTGTAACTATATTCATGTTGAAGCGTCATCATTTCCCGCTAAAAATCAGTATGTGTCATGTCGCTGAAGTGTAAACAACATACTTTCTAAAAAGCAGCGCTTCCCGCAAATTGTGTTTTGTTGGCACAAAGGTTGACATGGTTAGAGCACAAAGAAAGTATGTTGTTTACACTTCAGCGACATGACACATACTGATTTTTAGCGGGAAATGATGACGCTTCAACATGAATATAGTTACAAGATGGTCCGATGCGATTTAATGCTAGTTACGCCATCTTTTCTAAATCCCTCAAAACTTATTTGTACCCCCAATAGCTGGTACAGCCCCAGGTTTTTCTTGTTCAGAATATGTGATTATATGCTATATTTCAAGAAAGATGTCCCAGATTTTGGGTGAAATGTACCATTATCCATTTAACAGGAAATTGAAATTTGCTCATGATGGGTATCCCTAAGAATTAAATTAAGCCACTTGAACCAGTTCCTGTGGTAGTCCATTATGGAGTCACCATGTATCAAACTGATCTGAGTTATTCTTCCCTCAGTAAGTAAGCATTCAACAATCCTGATTCCAAGGGTAATTTCAGGTTGCATAATTGCCTCTGGGTAGTATGTCTGATCCCAGAACATTATATGGCAAAGGGAACAGAGGAAAGCCTGTGTCAATAAATATATATTTAGCAGGTAACCTATGGTTTTGATCCAAACCTAACTCTTATTTAAGAACTGCAAAAGCAATCCATGAGCAATCATCAGTTGTGGTTTACTTGCAGGGAAAAAGATCACAGGCCAACTCGGGTAGAAGACCAAGTGGCAATGTTTAAAGGAAGGGAGAATAGCAGTGATGACATGGTCCTCTCTGGGTCCTTAAACTCATCCGAACGTGCCGATTCGATGAGCACCTCTCGGAGACGGAGTGGGAACGAAAGTGGAGATCTGGCTGCCATCACATCTCGACTTCGCAAGCAGGTCCTCTAAGAAGTCTTCTGCCTCTTCCACCTCCAGTGATGGAAGAGTGAGAAGAGTAACATTACCATCACAGATGCCTAATCTGCAAATCAGCTAGATGCTTTTGATTCATAAGCTTGTGTGATTTCCACTTCATTGAATTTTCATTTGGGCCTGATAGAAGAGGGATTCCCATTTTACTCATTGAGTACATTGTTAAGGGTAGACATGTCTGTTGGTGCATAATTTGTAAAATTGATTTAAATCATTTTTTTTTATCTATGACTGTTCATGAGTCATGGAGCAAAATTGTGATCATTTGCATGGTTAAGTTCTAAAGAGATTGATATGCCAATATTTCAGTAGAGATAATTCGTCCAGAAATCCAAGAAGGATTGCATTGAGATGAGTCCATTGATCACTCATTTGTTGGAGAAAGTGCAATAATTTTGCGCCAAGGTGAACAGGGTTTTTGATGACAGGTTTTCAACCAAATCCTTCCAAATGTCTTGAAGTGCTGGATCAATGCATAAAAATATATGAAACTTCATGAACTCTGAGATTTTCATAGTTTTCAATTGGTTTTCAGAAAAACCCAAGAATTCCCTGTTAAAGTTTTGACTCTTTTCAAACCAAGCTTATTCTTAATTAGTCCATTAATACCAATGGTCTCATATATATATATATATATATATATATATATATATATATCTCACTGGTAGGACTCGTACAACACTTCGGGTTGGATAAAATCTTGGTTTTCTTTTTCTCCTAACAGCTGAAGGTGTTCGAGAAGAATCTCTCTCATGTATGCAATTCTGGAACAGGGAAGACAACTACACCATAGTTGAATCTGGATAGCATAATCTCAAGCCCTTCCTTTGCCTTACATATCCAATTCTGTACTCTTCCATTATAAGTGTGATATCATTTTCGGTCACTGTGAATTACAATGCACCGGTACTGTCCCTCTTTTATACTGAATTTTTTCTTCTCTGATTAAAGAGATGCTACTTAAGCATGGTGTCATGTTTTTTCAAGTGTGTCATGACGAAAGTCCTGGAGATATTTTATGCTCTCGTTACTCATTTGATGTGCAAAAATTTTGAATCTCTCCACGTGACTCATAAAGGCCCTTGCCTCGTGACGAAGGAATCCAAGCATGAGTGTGTAGCTGAACACATGAAGGAAAATGTATTGTTCCTTTTTCCACACATGGGGGGAAAATTTGCAAAGTGTAGCTCTTCATTTCATCAGGGGTCATGTTTATTATCTGGCATTCCCTCATAGTACCTATGGGGGAATGCCAGCTGTGTTCGGTTTGTCACTTTTTTCCCATTCCGTCTGTCCGCAGTGACCATAGCGACCGGACAACACTACCCAATGCGCACGCTCAGCTTTCCGCCTGGGTCGGGGTGCCCGTCTTCCACGAAAACATCCCTTCCAGCCCTGGCGGTTGACGGATCCATAGCAGACGATGGAGAGGGGCTTGCTCCCGGCCGCGTTGACAGGGTTGTTAGGCGTACGCGTGAAATGCCGTATCTGGCATCCTACACTTCATACTGCCCTCCCTCCGCGCGACACAGACCATCGAGAACTTGCTTAGTTGTCCAGGCCTTTTCATTTTGGCCTACGCCGAACCAATAAGGTGATGAGACGTCCCGATTTAGGCGGGACAGTCTTACTTTCAGACCACCTGTCCCGGTGTCCCCCGACGAAGTAAGGACGCTCAAATGTCCCGCTTTTGGGAAATGTCGAAGAGAGAATGACACACCGGTCGAATTTCTCCCTTCACGAGAGTTTCAGAACCAAACAAAATCGCATCGAACTAAACCTAACGAACATCATGAACATACTGTATATACCATACCTTGAGTCTTTTTTATCCGGGGCAACTGCGTAGGTACAAATTGGCAATCGGCTAAGAAGCCCCATAACATGCTGGCTTTTGCCAGCAGACACCTGCTCATGCGCAATGCAAACGGTGAGGCCAGCCTCCCTGCTATCATAACTTTTAACATCACGTGATAAGCCTCCAGACTCAGGATATTTGATATCGTAATGGACATTTTCGAATCGTATGGGAAAGTACATCCTTAGAATTTTTGAGGAGACCGAGCCTCCCTCTCGCGGAAAATGCCCTCATCGGGGGGGGGGGGCGGTGGTGGGGGCCTTGAGGCTGAAAAGGGGGCAAAGATGGGAGTGAAAGGCGAAGGTGAAGCCAGTCATATACAGCTACTCGCGGCAGTGAAGTAAAAATGTCAAGGAAGCGTCGCGTGACGCTGCATAATTTTTTTTTTTTCCTGAAAACGGAAGAGACGAAAGTCACGAATAATCATTGCAAACCTGCGCACTGAAATCCGGGCTGAATCCCGAAGTTATTTCCGCTCGTCTTTCGCTTTGTTTCAGGCATCGATTGCGCTTAGATCGTTCGTTGTTGAGATTCTGTTTCCACAATTTCCTGAAATTTGTATTCATTTCATTTCCTATGTTCGCGTGTTGGCTGGATGCGGACGCACAGTTAATTAAATAACCGTTCTAATTCATATTTCGACAATAATACATATAATTTTCAAATGCATTTATATTCTGTTCTAAGACAAGGGCATGTACTTATATCGGGCGTCCCCATTTTCACGACGCAGAAATCCGGTCACCTTACGAATCAATGACAATTATTATTTATTTCAAGCTTGGACGGTTAGGATGCGGTGAATATATTTAATAATTCCAGCGGTACAGAGGCCAGTGGTATGCCAGATCTGTACCTGGACTAGTACTCTTATCTTCTCTATATTTTTCCATATAAGGTGCAGGG